AATAGCCTCGTCTCTTCGCCGATGGGGAACTCCTTTCTCTATATATATTTTTTCCCCTCTCCTTCCTTCGACGAAGATAACGAAGATATCGCTTGTATCATCTTTTGTGACGCGACTCGCATTTTACAGGCTGTATCATCACGCGAGAGAGCCGCCGCCAGAGTCATATCTTCTCGCGCGATGACGCGATCTCGGATTTAACGGTCGTTTTTACAAAAGTCAAAGAGCGCACCGATGTTCGTCTCGCTGTTCATATTTCTCCTCCGAGCGACAGAGATCCGCTCTTGCGCCTCTCGGATTCCATTCCATTTTACCCGTCCACTGTTCTCTCCGCCTCACCGTTTTCGTCCTTTGAGCACGAAGGCGGAGGAGAGAGAGAGATCGGCCGCGAGAAGAGCTCCAAGAGGAACGTAGCTGCTTTGTGTTCTGAATTTAAAGCCTTCCCGGTGCGAGAACCGCGTTCGTCGCGCGATCTTGCATTTGTCAGGTTAAATTACGGTACCTATTCCGTTTCCAACAAGCATAAAACGGGAGATTTCTTTTGCGCGATTCGCAGAAACAATAACGAGTTAACTTAGATTTTACGCTATTTTTTTAACGAGATTAAAGAGAAATTCTATGCTCGTTATAACGCGTTTGATTTCTTTCGTAAGATATTTCAGAGAGATAGAACATTTTAAAATGACCAAAATATCAACTTTTTTTCTTTTAAAAAGGATTATTTTTTTCCAAACATTTTGAGATATATAAAATTTTAAAATACATAAATGTCTTAAAAAGATATTTTAAACATAAAATCTTTTTGCCAAAAAATAGCATTAAAATTTTTTAAGTCTTCTCCTGTACAATCATAGTTTTGTAATTTTTTTGGAAATTATTTATCTAAATCTTATCTTTTTTTTTTAAATTTGTTTAGAAATATGGCTTGTGTCATATGATCGATTAAAATAAATGAAAATTAAGAGCTACGAATGGTTAAATTGCCAAAAAGTCAACTTATTTAAATTATAATTAAAATTCAGAAAAAGTCATTTTTTTAGAAAAGAAAACATTGATCAAAACGTAGTCAATCATATCAAAACAAAAAAAAGATTAATTGGAATATTTAAACTTGGCGATGAAAAAAAGAAACATAGACATATAATTTTATCCTACATAATTTTTTTTGCGGCGCATCTACGTTCTTAAAATAATGCCAATACATCTCTCTATAGTTTGCATCATGTTCTGCATGCGTGTTTCGAGATCGGCGTACATTCTCGCGCCGATAAGTATAGCAAAGCCGGCGAGCAAAACGCACGACTAATCTGCTGTTTCTTCCAGCAGCGCGGCCAAGGGGGTTGGTCGCGCATTAACCGGTCTAAATTCGCATCCGCGTAAATCATCGTGCTCACGCACGTGCGTGCCCGCGGCCACGCGCCGCGGTTACGCACCCCGGACCGCGCGTCTTCGTCCCCGTTCTTCCAGGCAGTTGTTCCTTCTCGTGTCCCCCCGTGCTTGTCGGAAGATCATTCCGAACGTACTTATTTCTCTTCCTCTCCCTCTTCCCCATAATTAATCCCTGCGTTCTGTTTCGCATCGGGAAACGCGTTACGCACTCGAGGCGAGGAATGAGGATCGTTTGCGACGAGTTGGAAAAATCGCAAAACGCAAGATATGATATTCCACCACATTGTATCATTATAGCGTAATTGCAATTGCAAAATACAGGCTGTTCTTCAGCTGCGAGTTTAACTTGAACTTTGATTCTTCGTTGTTTTACGATTTTTCTTTCTCGTAGAAAAGAGAAAATTTCCTTCTTAAGCGAGAGATCTTTCAACATTCTAGCTTTTGCTATTCGGTCAACCTTATTTAATTAACGATCGAATGATGATTAATAGTTGTCGGCGGCGATAATAATTGCGATAATAACGCAAGAGTAATGCGTAATGATCGTCGGCTTTTACTGCAAGCATGCAGATGCATATCGTGGAGAAACGCCGCGGATAAGCGTGGAGAAAAACCGTGAAAAACGATGAAAAGTCCAGGCCGAGGAGCTCTCATGCGCGACGCTTAAGCACAGCCGGTCGTGGCACGTGAGCGGTCGGGTGCTCGCACGCACGTGCGTGAGCGCGATGATTTACACGGTACGCGGATTTAGAATTTAGAACATATACCCTCGGGCGTGCGTGAGTGAGTGGGTGAGTGCGTTCGTGCGCACATGACATTTTGTGAAGCGCGTTAAAAATAACGCTTGCAGGCGTAATAAAGAAAAGCTCCATTATGTAATATATACTCGATTAAGTAAGACATCTAAAATAGCGAAACTTTATTTAGCTTGAAACACCATTCAAATCACGATATTGTCGCGTCTTTAATAGAAATTATATATCACAAATTCTAGAATATTCAGAGCATGTTGGAGACCGATACGCGACAATTTTACTTAAAGAATCGAACACCTTTTACGTAGAAGGGAAGATATAACTTTGTATTATTGTAGCGTAATCTTGTGAAAGATACGATCGCTTTCCGATAAAAAGTGATTATATAAATCTCGATATAGAATCTAACAATAAATAATAATTATCAAAGGATTCATGTCTCGCGACCGGAAAATCCGGTCCGCCTTTTTCTCTGAGCGCATTCCTCCGATCGCGCCGTAGTTTCTCTATAAAAAGCATACTTTTTCCTTGAGCGAGATCCCTTTCGTTACTTGGAAAGAGGAAGCGACGTTAATGTCGCGCAACCCGTTCGCTAGACGACGGAGGACCTTGCGACCGTCGTCTGCCCTTCGTATTTGAATTTAAAAGTGGTTTGGTTCCAGGAAAAAGAGACAGTGCGAAGGATTTCGCCGGTGCACTCTCACATGTTGATTATGTCGCATTCTTATCTAGCAGGAATATTATTGTCCGAACCTTCGAAGTAACATCTTTGATGCTAGATACTTAATTATTATTATGATGACGTAATTTTTTCTGTACAATATTTATAATCTGTGCATCTGAAAAATTTGCATTTAAAAAATGTTTATGTAAATTCTAACAATACGACAAGGCTCGCCTGTTGAATATTAAATTCTGATAATTTTCCACGCATTAATTTAGATGGAAAAACGATTATAAACGATACGCACAAACGCGTCTAAGTAAGTAAACACACTCTAGGTGCGAAGCGATATTTCGGCGCGTAAGGTCGTCGTTCTCCGCGCGAGCTATTCTCTTCCACGTATCGCCGTGCTCGTTTTGCCCACGGCGGCCAGAGCATAATGAGGCAGGCGAGAATAGTCCTTGGAAAATGAGGCGAGAGTCGCTTCGGGAAAAGAGCCTCCGAGAGAGAGATGACTGACAAACGTCGCTAATGAGAGAGCGCGTGTGCGTTCTGTATTTTCCTCCTTCCTGTGAACGCGAATCTTTGAAAGTTCGGTTAACGACGCGGGTCTTGCGCTTCCAAATTCCTTAAGTTATGTGACTCCTCCGTCGTTCTTTTTTTTTTACAAGGAAGCGAGATGACTTTTCAAAGCTTTTTACCTTTTTTCCTCGGAAAAATTGTCCGGAGTATTTACGGTAGCATAAAATATACGAACAGCCTCCCGCCATCGACCGGTAATGGATGTCATTTAGAAATCACGAGAATAAAAAGACTCCACCTTGATCTCTCTGTGAGATATAAAAAAAAGTTCGTACGACTCTCTTTTAGACCGCTTCGATGTTACCGACGAATCCTCAAAGAACGAGAGGAGCCTTTACATCGCGCCGATTCGCGCGAATGTTTGATCTCGCTGAAAATAAGGAAGCAACGAACGCTCCGTTTCTGCTTGATGTTTGCTCGGCTAAGGTCTCTGCGGTCGATGCAGTATTTACATCTAGTGGGCAATCCAAGTTTATCGAAAGCAAAACTTCATTGTTTACGAAAAGAATAAAAAAATTATTAAATTAAATCAAAATACATAATTATAAATCGTACAGGCATCTGGTGATGAAAGTTGTATATACTGATATTTATCGGTACAAGAGGATCATTTCCGACAACCTGAATGATAAGCTACCCTGTAGATAAGGGAAACACGAGCTACAAAGTTGTACGATGCATTATAGCGACGATAGATGGCTACAACAACCTGTCACACAGATAAAAGTGTGTCATCTGAGACCACGTGTTCATGAATCATTTCGCATGTACAACAAACAAAAATTCAGGCAATTTATAATATTGAAAAATTACCATTGTTTCGGTACTTTTTGTTAAAAAACGCGTACTTTCCCTGATATTTGTAAAAACGTATAAAATAACCGTGATTTCAGAGGTTTTTGGGCGCTAACTCTTTAAGGAAGCATTTTTCGACCCATGTTCATAGGAAACTTTTTGTTCGGAATTAAATTATCTTTCAAATGAGGTCAAAATAATTGTAGTACGCTCCATAGGTTTTGAATGTGATAAAGAGAGGATTGCAAAATTAATTTTAGCCGTACCTGAGTCTCTGACATTTAACATTCAACGTGACGCGCATTTGCATGTACAATTATGCAATTATAACTTTCATTGCTCGCGCGAAGGTCGTTTCGCTTGGATCCGATTAATCGGCCGACAGGCGTTACGCTCGGCCCTGGAATAATTCATGCATCCTTAGGTCGCGGCAACGACGCCGGCATAGGTAAAATCGCAGCGCCAATCTGGCGCCCAGTCATCGGCAGGAGATGTCAGATTGATCCACTCCACGGTGCATACCAATCGATGCATCGTTCACTCGTGGAATAGGAACTCGGGAACGCGCGTTGGTCTTTGTCTATCCTCGTAGGTTCGTTCAACCTCCGATTTGCATTTCGAGTTAATTTTAATGCGGTGCGCTAATTTGCCCGGTTGCGCTTACATCGCACCGAGAGGGGCCAATTTTCCGTATCATGCGCGCTAATTAAATTAAAGCTATTTATATTCAAATTAAAAAAATACACGTGCTTTGGGATCATAAAACATTATAAGACGATTCGTTTTTAAGGAGAAAATAAGCGATATGTGCGCAATTTATAATGTATATGATAAAATTTATTCACATCCTCTTAATATTTATCAGGGATCTCAATCTTTCCGTATGTACATAGACAATATATAGTAAGCGGTATTAAATAATCTTGTTTCTTGAATTTTTTTACAGTATACGTATATGATATATCGATATTTCATCTCTCTGAGTTAGTAATCCATTTAATTCAGATATTACATTCTAAATTCATATCTTCAGGACGGCCGATATATATACGTATATACGTTCGTACACATTATGCCCATATTTGACTAGGATTCTGTGTGTATCTATATATTATTTTATCATTAACACATCTCTCTCAACGCGATACAAACGCGAACACGTATTTAACATACAAGCCGTCTTGAAAACACGGATAGGAGCATATTTATTATATTTGTATCACAGTAACATATCTAATGTAACATGTTACAAAGTTTTGTACTCCGTCTGACACATAACAGTAGCGTACAAAATGCGCGCTTCATTATATTTATATAAAGAATTCACCTAGTTGTCACTATTTCATACAGTTCTGTTAGATTCGAAGCCATCGTTTTATGTACACCAAAGTATCTCTTTTCGAAGTTTCTTTTCTTTTCTTTTTTTTCTTTTTTTTTTGGGGGGGGGGGGACTAACGTATTAAATTGCAGTGCGTGAATTTGGGCAATGACGCGAAAAGCACGCACACGATTGCACAATTTTATTTATTCAAATATAACGAAAGCTATAACTTTTTCGATCGCTACACAAAACGTACTATAATTTAATGATATAAAGAACATGATTTTTTTTATTGTATAGCTCCGAAGAAAATAATTCTTTTTTTTTTTTTTTTACGTAAGAATCTAACTTTTTTATAGGATATTTTTACTATCATACAGTAAATTTGCTAATTGATTTATGACGAAACTTTTTTTTATGCGTAGAAAGTGATACACATACTGAAGGGCGCATCGCGGTTGTATAAAAAATTGCGGATGGAATGCACGCCATTCCGTCCGTGTGAAATTAATCGTAATAGTAACTCTGGAGCTCACCACCGAATGTAACTCTTGTATTCCTCGGTTATGCTCACTCTCTTGATGGTCTCGTATCCTAGGATTATCGAGAAACTGAAGCACGCGGATTGCACAAGTCTCGCGGAGAGTCCTTTGGTGAACATAAGCAGTCCTTCCTCGATCCACAGTATCCTAAACGCACTGAACATACTGTCTAACCGTTGCACCTGCAATCTCGCCCTCACGATGTCCAGGGGATTTGTAATAATCGTGGTCGTAAAGCCTCCTAGCGTGCCCGCTATCGCTTGTATACATAGATGCGAAAACCATCCCGGGAGCACCCTTATAAGCTCGTCTATACGGAGGAAAAAAATATGAAAAATTAATTATCATTCTTTTATTATCTCTGTGATTTGCTTAGAAGGTACAAAGTACGCTTACCCTGATAAACTGTGTACAATCCCCACCAAAGAGCGCTGTTAGGTACATACGCGCATAAAGACGCGATGTATCCTCGATAGAAGCCGCGATAACCATCTCTCTGATAGATTAATTTTATTATTTCGGCAGAGATTTGTGCGCGAGTTTTTCCAGGTTCGAGGGTCAAACCCAACGGATTCATTCCCATCTGCGAAGAACGTGTACAATTAATATTTCAAATACATAATATAAATCGCGGTTAAAGGAAAGTCCAAGAAATCTATAAAAATTTTGCGACTTACCTTATCCACGTACACTCTGCCGTGTTTAGTACTATTGATCCCGAGAACCATTAAATGTTGACTGAGAACATCGAAGGGAACGACGATTGTTTGTCCGACTAAACTGGCAGCACCGCCGGCAATCAAGGCTTTAACCTTCGAGTCAACACGTCCGAGGGGTGTATCCTGCGTGAGTAGATGACGTACACCCTCGTACGTCGATACGTAAAATACTCCGGAAACAATTTGAATGGAGCTTATCCAGAAGCCTCTGTAAAGGCCCGTGACGCCTTCGACTTTGTAAATTTTTCTACACGCGTCTATCATACCTATCATATGAAAGAAGAAAATCATATATCATTTGTAAGAATATTATTTCTTCTACAAATAATGAAATATCGATTCGATATCGGAATTAATTATACCATTGTACATGTGATTTTGTCTCTGCACTTGAAGCCGAGTCTTGATCACTGTCAGAGGATATAGACAGCATCTGACCGAGAACGAGGACAGCATGCTGAGTGGAAAGAACTTTGTTTTGTCCATCATGTCCCACTCGATGGTGCGGATGAACGGTGTTGCCTCTACCGCGGACATCTCTCCGATAAGCGCAGATATTGTAGTTTGTAGCGATAGATGAATCAAGCAGGTAGATTCGCGGAGGATTTGGTCCAACCTGATGCCGCATATCTCATCGGTATATTATGAGCATTAACGCCCAAAATTTCGTAAAATCTGTAAATATATAAATATTATATTTACCATTTAAGACAAATCAATCTAAAATTATAAAATATTATCGCTTAATCATAGAGAAGACAGCTATCACAACTATAAGAAATTAGGTTAATCTAACCTCAAAATGAGCTTTTCGAATATTATACTCTTACAAATAATATGACGTATACATAAGTATTATACATTAAATTTTGATCTTAGCATTGAAATGAGAGAGAACTTTATAATATTGCTTTTGCACGTAAATGTGTCTTTAATGTACCATGTCGTTATGTCAATTATGCGCAAAACGTCAAAGTGACATTTGGGAGTCGATCGATTGAAAAACGAACATTATAAAAATTTTGTAGAATATTTAACAAGATTTAATGCGTTTATACGTAAGGTAGTGGGTCTAACAAAAGAAAGAAATTACAATTAATAATATTCAATGCATAACAATTATATGTTCGAAATGCGATGTTACACGTCAACAATTTATGGCTCCAAAATTTTCTGCATCATCATTTATATTACTCCAATCTTATAATCAAAAAATTAATTAATCGAGTAATTCTATCTTGATTCTTATCTAAATCTAATAGCATGTGTTAGCATGTGTGTGTAAGAAATGGTTAATAATTTTTGGAGTACCGTCAATAATAAAGTATCTGTAGTAAAGTAAATATATCGACGTCACAATATCAGCCTAATTAAATACACAATGAAAGGTGCAAGTCACAAAAAATCGTCGTTACTTACAATGATGTAATATATTGTCGAGATGATTTACTCCGAAATTTACTTCTTGATATTCGCCTCTCCACACGGTTAGGAATAACTGATGTTTACAACATGATTGATGCGTCAATCGCGCTGTCGCGTATCACGTCAACTTGCTCAATTCATTTTATAACACGAGCTCATTTTTACTCGTAATTTCGTGACCGCAAAATAGCAAAAGAGATATCGCAAAAGCCGTGAAAAATTGTGGACCACACATTCAGCCAGAACGCACGCGTGTATCTTTCTCTAGTGGTGACATCTTGATGGTGAAATCTTGTTGTCGAGTGTGTCGAGCTGTCATCGTCTTTATCAGCAGATGTACAAAGCGGTAACGTCTATTGATAACGAATATTATGACCGACTCTTTTAATCATAATGCATAAATTTATAAAAAAGAAATGTGATTGCAGGCAAATAAAATTCTGGAGCAACAATTATTTTCCTATGAATGATAAAAAAATAAATATAATTTAAATGAGATAAATTTAATAGTTATATATATTGAAAGAATATATCAATTGTGTTAATTAATTCTAAAGTCCTCTATTTAGTTGAGATAAGCTTTTATTTTATTGTTACAAGAGGTAATCACTGAATAGAGATTACCTTTATTTATATTAGACCTTTGTCTCTTCTCTTATTATTGAGATTAAAACGAAAAAGAAAAAAATTATAAATATGATTTTTACATTTTGCTGTCATATTTTCATATTAGGTTTCATATCATTTTCTAATCAGTTCGTCGTGTTTAATTTATTGGACATAGATACAGAATTTTTTTCAACAATTTTGCTAAATATGTAAAACTTGCCGTCTCTCCAAGAAAAGTTAATTTTTCCTTCATAATTTTATCGCGGATTTCTGGAACCCGTGCATTCATTCGGGATGACTTGAAGTTTTATTGGACGTACCGCGCGAATATCTCTATCTATGGCGATCGAATCGAATTTGCGAAACTCGCTGCCGTGGAGAACCCAATGCTCTCTCTCGCGAGATGCAGCATCATCCCTCGTATCTCGAACGTGTGTCGCCAATGAATTTCAAGCTCCGCCCAGCACCCGGTTGCAATGGTCCAAGGAAGCGAAATACGCGCAGGACTGAATTCTACGTCACGTTGGGGGCGTACACCCTGCCGGAGACACAACCCCCGGTTCCGACCGCGAGGGTGGCTCACCCCCTTACTTGCAACGAGATCAAATCACCCGATTCAGTGCTATCTTCGATCTTCGCGCCGCAACACCAGCGACGATCGACGAGGCTCGTTCGTGTCGCGCCAACTCGGTTACGTATTTTTTTCTCGAATTGGATCGGAGAATCTGCTCGTCTTTTAGTGACAAGTTTTTCCTTTGATAAGAATAGGCCGCGGAACGAAACGGCGAGCCGCGAAGTTATGATGAACATTGCCGATCAGGAGGTGCCTGCTGCGACGACGGAATTGGCGGGCTTAGTAAGTAGTTGAAAGTTCATTCATTTTCTCAAAAATAAGGCTTTTATGATTGATAAGAGCTCTATCTGAAATATACATGATTGATAAGTTTATTGTGATCTTTATCGATCGATCTAAATTATTCTTTAATTTGAAAATTTGTAACCTTTAATTGACTTTATTTGTTTATGCGTACCAGAGCGAAGAATAAGTTAGATACACATCTAAATAAAGTTACCGCTTACATTAAAAAAAGAATTTTATTTTATAATGCATTAGATCAAGTACATAAATACATATATCGCAATTAGACAGATTCTGATTGTCCTTCTTTAAAAAAAAAAAAAAGATTGAAATGTCAAAATAATTAATCAAGTCATTTTTTTAAATTCTTATTTCTGTAGCGTTGTGTAGAAAAATTTTTATAACTTTATGGAATATAATTTGAAGCAACATTAATAACAGAATGCCCAATAAACATATCGACTTTATTAGTGTCAACCACACAAAGACATGCAAAAATTCCATTGTAACTTACAGTGATATAATGTAATCGGAATGATTTGTTGCGGAATCTCTTCGATATTCGCCTCAAAAATTTTTAATATATGAAATGAAAAGCAAAATAAAAATGTAATGAAATAAAATTTATTTTATAATATAAAGACAGGATAAAATAAGAGAACAAAGGGGGCTTACGTGTATGCGTAATAATATTCAGTTATATTTACTCAAAATACAAATAGATTTAATCGATCCTCTTCACCGCGCCTTTATCGCTTCTTTATCAAATCCAACACGTAAAAAGAATATTTAAGAAAAACCGGGAAACGCATTACCGTCGCGAAAAGTGTTTAAGATCCATTAAGAGAGCACCGCCGCGTAAGGGCCATCGCGTTCCGTTCGATCCGGATATCCGGCCACCCTGAAGCCTGGCCGCTCCGACGTACAATGGAGTCATCCTTACCGAGTGCGGCACGAGATCCGGGATCATCGCGCGTACAATGCCAACCACTCGAGAGATGATCGCTTGACGACCGGGTGGCGAATTGCCGCGGCACGCGCCTCCACGCTCCGGTGGCTCGTCCCACGGGTGCCACCCCTTCTGTGTCCTCTAAACACGTAATTGTCACCGTTATATTCCCCGCGTGCGTGCATGCGTGCGTGCGTGCCACCACCGTGACGACACGACACGACACGACACGAGTATCCGCGGGTGGTCAATGGACACGCGCGGGGAGGGGATGACTCGGCGAGAGGGGCACCCGCGAGGCACTTGATTTATGTTTGTTGATTCTAAAAATCAGCCGATTCCCACACACGCTTCTCCCCCCCGTCTCCTCCGTCGAATCGGCGGCGCCGTTTAATTGACTGCCGCGAGATAGCATATGTCACCACTCGAGTTTCCCATGATTAGGGACGACTTTCTCGGGGATGGGACATGCTGCGGGATTACCGCGCTGGATGTTTAGCTGCTCACCTTGATTAATTTCTCCGTGGAACTGGCTCCATAAATCGGCTAATGATACTGCGTACTTTTATACGGTCCTTTTACTCGGATTTAATCTTTTGCACATTTTTACGCGGCGTTAATAATCATTTATTCATACGCAAATGTTCGTAATGCTCGATGTGAAATTTTCATATTTGTTTACACTTTTGCTTGAAAGATATTGAATTTTTATAGCTTATTTTTATTATATTGCATTTACCTTCTCTCTCCCTGTTATGATGAATATAAATTAATTAAATTATTATGAGCACTTTAAAAACACCAGTCTAATCGATAGTAGAAGCGCAAAGATTTATTACTTCATCTTATAGTATAAGGTGTCCATTCCCTGGAAAACTTGGAATTCTCAGGAATTTTTGTTATACCTGGAAAAATCAGGAGAATCAGGGAATTCTTTTACTGAAATTTTTGTAAGTGAGAAATATGTTTATCTTACGAAAGCTATTCAGTTTTTTTTAGTACATGTCCAAATGTAGCACTTGAAACTTAAGTGACATCATGTTTTTCCTTTGAGAAAAGTATCAGAAAACGCAAACAATAAAAAATTTTATTTTAGAAAATTACAACAAAAGAAATCTTTAAAATATTCTTTTTACCTGAAATTTTGAATAAAAATACTTGGAAGGTCAAGGAATTTTCAGGGAATTTTTTTATAAGATTTGAGTAGATACCATGTAATAAAATAAAAAATATATTTATCACAAAATATTCCCTCGATTGTCGAGACTCAATTAGGACGAGAACAAAAATGTTCTTCTTCTCTAGCACGATTTTTGCGATGCATTGAGGAAAGCAATTAGCTGATAAACTCGGCCGTTGTGTGACGCGTTCTTTAATCTCGAGATCTCTATATATTGTTCCTTTCGCCAGGCATTGTCTGCCTTCCAGTGTCCACCTCTGTTATTGTCTTCGCACCTCGTCGCCGCATGAGGGTAGGAAAAGACGGCAGGAAAACTTTCTTGGCAAAGTACACAACAGCGGGATTTCTCTCGCGTGTAATTGATAAAATTGACCGTCGCTGCTATTATCGGCACATAATTAGCAGAGAAAACTCCACCGGCTTTTATCTATTCATTGGACAAAATAGGACACGCGTAAAATATGCATCCCGTTAAAAATATTCCATGCGCTTGTTTATATAAGTTGTCTATTTCAATAATAGGATTATTTCAGATTTATCCTTGCTCTCCCTAAAATTCACTCTTTGTAATTTTTATCCCCGTATCGTTGTTATGATGTTACTTCTAAATTGATTAAAAACGTCATCGATTAAAGCAATGATATAAGATTTTACCGAAGATCAGTGAAAACATTCACACTTTGCTCCTCCGTTATGTCTTACTGATTGTGGCAGTAGTTTTATTGAAAAATTATATTTGCAAGATGTAGCCTTTAAAGATTTTTTTAAATTTATTTTAAACTGCTATTTTTGGACAAGTTTATATTTGGAAACAAGTATAATTAATATTCAAATTCAGAATTATATATGTTAGTATTATTTACTTTTAAGATATGATAAATGTATAAAAATGAACAAGACTCGCGATCAATTCGAAGATACTTATTTAACAAAATATATTGCTATATAAATTTATCTCATATATAATATTTTATTATAAGATGCATTTAAATACCACTGATTGAAATAGCCACTATCACCAACTGATTCTTTCAGTGAGATTTTATTGATTTTCAGTGCTATACTTATGTAACTGCGTCCATCAGTGACTATTCACTATTTTTCAGTGATAATACACTGATTCCATTTGAAAGAGTACGTATCTAAAATCTTCCCGCGATGCTTCCCGATCCGTCGGAGAAGGGATACAGTTTCGCGATGTTCTCGATGACTTTATTATAAACCGAACCAAAATGCGCAATTACTATACGAGGGTGGAGAACGTGAAATGGGGTGCCGTCGCCGCGACCCCTGTTGCAGCCCCGTCGCGAACGACGGGGCGTACCCTCGACTCGTCGTGGGTATCTCGTTTTCATGAGAGACACATAAACGCGCGTAAATAAACTCGCCTGCCGAATGCATTCGTCTAAAACGCGCATCCGTCCGCTGGGAAAGGTCACGTCGGGCCTTTAACGTTAAATGGTACGCGCACTCCTCGTGTTTGCGCTTCCCGCTCACGCGTCATTGCCTGATTAATTCGCTGTTAAATCCTCTGTTTGACAAAAAAGCCCCGATGGAAATGAAAGATCAACGATTTCTCACAAAGATTCATCTTGGTCATAAAAATTCACGCAGCTTAGTTATTTCATGTTGTGTGTGTGTAATATAAATATTTAAATATTTTATATTAAATATGAAAACCTAAGATATCCGATTTTTTTTTGTGCACTTGCCTCGTATGTACACTTGCCGTATAAAATAATAAATGCTCGCGATGGTGTACAGATATAAATCTTCAATATATATTATATATTTATAATATGGATAATTTTTTTTCTAAATTTGTTTGAATTATAGAGTTTCTCCCCCCGCGCGAATATTTTCGAAGTTTTATTTCGGATAATTTTTAACCCTTACTTAGAGAACATATTTATTTATTTATGCACATAATGGGAACATTCTTTATCAGCGTCAGTCATTTTTGCATCAGTAAATATGTATATACGTAACGGATTGGCAGGCGTATTAAACATTTAAGGCGGTAATAGTGAATGTAATTAAAATTTATGTCCAAGCGCGCGGATTACGGGCGCCATGCCATCACGGCAGATAATTGCGGACGACGATTAATTGCGATCAAAGGAAAATCTCGAGGAGAAATTATGAACAAATAATGGAACTTTGAGCAGCGTGAGTCCGCCGGATACTCGTTAATATCAATATATATCCCCTATCAGAAATGTGTTCGCATTCAATAAGGGACAATTCATCTTCCGGACGGTGCATTTTAGCCTTTTAATTATTTTATCACTTTATTAACTTAATTCCTACGTAATAGAGTGATCCTGTCTTTTTTTTTTTTTTTTTTTTTAAAATAGCGTAATTTTTCACGCACAATTTTTTGACGATTCGTATTCCCGCAGTTTGTAGTCAAATTTTACGGAGTCAAAGGCCCGAACGTCTACGTTATCGAAATTCCCAAAACCGGTAACTGAGTTTACCACTAGATTGCCCCGCAAGGAGGAAACCGTCCAATCGTTCACCGGATGTCTTCCTTGCCGCCTCTCTTACCCACCTCCCTCTATTTCTCACTGTGTCTTTCGCTCCTATATTGAGAGCTTCGAGCCTCACAATCACTTTCTGATATTAATTACATTCACTCTTTCATTCGCTCGCGTTTGACATTACGATTTACTTTCGAAATACATCCGTCAAATGCGTAAAAGTAATAAATATTGTTAAAAATCTTTATATATCTTACACTAATTCATACAACTCTCTTCTCTCGATTGTTCTAGCCCGGAAACGGATTCGGCAGATTACCAGAGCCGCTTCAGACAGTTACCGGCGAATATTGTCCCGGCAACTACTCAGTGTCTCACACCACGAGCAATGAAAAACTGCACACCGGTGAGTAGAATTTTTAATGATGAAAAAACATTGAAAGTCGATCCGATATTTTAATTATATGCGGTATCATATCAGTGAAGAGAAATATTCTCTCGCGCGAGCCTAGGACAACTCTCATACGCGCGTCACTCGAGATCTTTTTTTTTCCGAAAAGAAGTATCCACGGGCTGTAAAACTACTTTACGTCTTAACGAGCTTGCGAGGATGCAATCAAGGGAAAAAGGTGAGCGGGCAGAGAAGAGACCGGTCGATTCTTCGATTCCCCCGGTCGTTCGACTTTGAAGCTCTTTGATACCGTCGCGGCTCGGAGATGTCGCGTTTCCATCGGGGGCGAGGCCTTCGATACACACGAAGCCGCTGTGTAGATCCCGAGAAGAGCGCACACATAGCGTGGGGGGGAGGGGGAGGGGGAGGCACGTTTAGGAACACGTGCGGGACGCGTACCCCGAAACGAAGCGCCGGCAAGGAGGACGAGAGACGAGAGGGTGGATGGAGAGAGGGAAGGTGGAGCTATACCCCCCGAAGAGAGCCTGTCACTCGCAGGCAGCCGAGTCGATATCTTTATATAGTCGCATCAACGACAACATTATTTTCCAAAGGTCGCGGCGAGACGCGGCTGCACCGTGAAACATCGCTCGAGACAATCTCTGGTCGGAATACTTGCCAATTATTTGGCTCATTTTCCAAACTACTCGGCCAACTCCATGTGTCTCCGATGCTAAAAATATACGAAAATCTACAATTATTACATATTTTCTTATATCAGTAATTTGTTTCATTTGACAATGATACTTTTTATTTCGAGAGTAACCGCGTTTCTTCGACAAATGTCGGTTACCTTGCTTGATAAAGCACGAATGAAAAGATTTCGGGACGAAATTTCTCGAAATATTTTCCGACGTCGAGACGTTAATTCGCGCCGTCTTCCTCCGGCGCGATGATGCTTCTTCTTCCGGACGAGTGTCTTAGCCTTGACCTAGAAATGCGACGCCAATTTCTCGACACGAAATTCAATAAGTGACGTGTTATCACCGCAAAGACTCCCCTGGGGTGTCCCCACAGTGGAACCTCTCCCCCCCCCCATTGTACCCCCGTCGAAGAGAGTCGGCCGAACCACCCCGGCCGACGTCTGGCTGCAGTGATTGACACTTTATATCTAGCATTGGCATGCCGTGCGGAGCCACCGTTCACCCAGGATGGACCACCTCCGCCTAACTCAATCACTGCCTATAATGCCGCAATTTCTCTATCATAATCGCGTTACGTCCCCTCCATTGCTCGATCCACTTTTCGACGACGATTCAGAAATATTGAAACTCTGCGCCGCGTCGCGATGACGGATAGGAATATATTGTTGCTTGCTCTCCCCGCTTTCTCGTTCGTCTTTTTTCACCGCGTATCTGGAAGCGGCATCGTAATAATTTAAACAATAAGATAACGCGAAAATTTAATTAAAAGATATGCGAAAGTTTATGAATTAATTGGGTACGTTTTATGATATTGATTTATATATGTTTTTCGTTACATTAATTTCATTTCAATGATTTTAATTTGTAGATGTCAATCTATGGGGATAATTATCTAATATTACATATCGTATTATATAATAAAATGTAATATTATCAAAGAAGTTTTTCGCTATTTAAATTATGTAATTTGCCAGAGAAAAGTTACAAGAAAAAACTTTCGAATTTTAAGAATCCTGGATACAAGATGCGTCGATAGCTTATTAAAGTAACGAATGCACAAACTATAATCTAAATATTATTAAATATGATACACGCACACAAGAATTTTATGTCTGTGACAATATCCATCATTCGACAGTTAACAAAATTAATTCGTAAATCTCGATGATGATAAAATCATGTTACATGTATAGTTAGACGTACTTATTTCATGACATACACGAAGACATGTATGCGAACGGTTGAAGTATCGTTGCAGAGGAGATTTCTTTATATACGCGAGCAATGAGCTGTAGCGTAAGTAGATTCGATTCGCGTTAGACTGGATTCTGCCATGGAACAAAACGAGGTTATCGCCGAGTGGCTACCCATGGCGAATTCTGGAGGTCCATTAAACGCACCCCAGTTTTCCACGCTGGCATTCTTATGCGCCCATTCACGCTGAAGGGTTTGTTTTTGCCTCTGATTCATTCGCAGCTACTCAGCAGCACCGTTTGTCTTCCCGCATATCTCGCCGATCTCGATTCCAGATAAGATGTATCTCTTTTTATCGAGGCTAGAAATATCTTCTTCCCCCATCCATTCACCTATCGTGTTAACTATCAAATATCTTTTTTTTTTTGTTGAACACATTGTGTATAGGTATATATCAATAATTAATCAAAAACAACGGAAGCACATGACATGTTCTGTCAATTTACGGCAAATACTGTTCAACGTTTAGCCAAACAAATGTATTTGCATTTTCTCTTGCCCTTTGTTTATTTTATCTCGCGATCAATAACGCAACTATATTAATACACACCCGCGCACACGTGTTAATTCGAGGAAAATTTATTGATTACAGGAAGCGAATTATACATGCCACAAGGCTACAGGCAGGAAACTTGGTTGCAAGATGGTGAGTGCTTTATTGTAAATTTTATTTTCATTTTGTTTTGTAATAATTTACATAATAATAACAATTCAATTATCTTTCCTTCCTCATTCGTTGTGCATGAGTTTAGTTCGAATACGCTTTTAATTCCACGGAAGTTATCAGCCCGGATAGCTCAGTCGGTAGAGCATCAGACTTTTAATCTGAGGGTCCAGGGTTCGAGTCCCTGTTCGGGCGTTATTTTTTGTCCTCTTTATTTTTGAAGGAATGTAATTATGTCATTATTGAGGACCAAATTAAGAAAATGAAAATTTTTTTTTATAAATTTACAATTTAAATATAGATGACATATCAACGGTAAAACTATTGAATATTCTTTCGCATTATTAATAATAGCATTTTTGTAAAATAATAATGATAATGACAATGCTAAGACGTTAAAAATCGAAATGTTATTAAAGTCGTTATTACGAAGAAATTGTGCTATTGATTTTTAGAATTTAGAGATGTAGCATCAAATTATCCCTAAGCCACCAGCGAAGATAATTACGTGCAGCCACTATTCTCTCGGAACATTAATTTTAATTACCTTGCCCAACTACGATGTAATACGCGGTGGATGTAATGTAACGAACGATCAAAGGGGGATGATTTTGCTGCGGAATGGAAAATAGAAATTCTCGTTAGATATTCGCGAATTAGAGAATTTTTATTCTAGTAGTTTTATTAATTCCTGCTCAAATTATCACAAATGAATTAATACGAAATGTCTCTTGTGCGTAGGTAGCAGCTCTGAAACCGAAGACAGCGAACAGTACGTACCCGAGTTTCACCAGATGTCAAGTAAGTGCCAATTCTCTTGGCGTTTATTCTTCGTCTGTTGGTTTCTTATTATCTAATCGCGTATCTCTCTCTCGATAATCGCAAAATTATTTAGCCACGTCGCATCAATACTCGACATCTGGTAATTCGTCTGGATAAATAAATCCGGGTTTGGAAATTCGCTAAACGGGATTGGAGGATGTCAATCTCCGCTGAAATCACCGCGAAATCATGTACAGCGCGCGGAAATGTTTCGCACGCGTCGATTCGGCCTCGAAATTGGTTGGAAAATCTGTTATCGCGCGCAGATGTCTAGACTCTCTCCTCGAGATATCGCATCTTCTCGACACGGTCCTATGACGTTCAACTATGCCGAAATATAAATACTATACGTGCAAAATCGAGCCGAAACGAGAATGAGGAGATCGCGTCATCGAACATCATCGGGAACAACGACCGTAGAGGAGGAAGAATTAATTCATCGGATGTTCCGTTCAACTCGCTCGATATAATCGTCGCAATCGGCGAATCAATCAATGGGTAACGCGTGACACACCGCACGTGCATCTTTAATTAGTCGCCGACACTTTCCACGCGCGTTGCGGTTTTCCCGTTCGACGATCACATCAGTCTTTTTGCGCGTGAGAAATAATTTTTCGCTGCATATTTTTCATTTTTGCGCGCTACATAATCACGATGTATATAACTCTCCAAGTGCAATATTGGTCCTTTATTAAAAATCGGCGAGAAGTTGTGCCCGCGGGGCAGAGTTTTTTTTAGCGTGGCTTAGATAGAGAGCGGGAAGAATCAACACGGGCGTTTGTCGGCGATCATCGATATCGGATTACGCGAGTAAGCACTTTATATTAAGCCAGCGGCGATTCTCTCGTTCTCTTTTTTTTTTTTTTTCTTCATTTTTTTCCTTCGTTATCGCCGCGCGCGCGCGCTTATTAACGTCGCTATCGACACCGGGTTGCGCGATATTATTTTCCGCGACGGCGGACGTATTTTTTTTTAAAATAGCGTAATTTTTCACGCACAATTTTTTGACGATTCGTATTCCCGCAGTTTGTAGTCAAATTTTACGGAGTCAAAGGCCCGAACGTCTACGTTATCGAAATTCCCAAAACCGGTAACTGAGTTTACCACTAGATTGCCCCGCAAGGAGGAAACCGTCCAATCGTTCACCGGATGTCTTCCTTGCCGCCTCTCTTACCCACCTCCCTCTATTTCTCACTGTGTCTTTCGCTCCTATATTGAGAGCTTCGAGCCTCACAATCACTTTCTGATATTAATTACATTCACTCTTTCATTCGCTCGCGTTTGACATTACGATTTACTTTCGAAATACATCCGTCAAATGCGTAAAAGTAATAAATATTGTTAAAAATCTTTATATATCTTACACTAATTCATACAACTCTCTTCTCTCGATTGTTCTAGCCCGGAAACGGATTCGGCAGATTACCAGAGCCGCTTCAGACAGTTACCGGCGAATATTGTCCCGGCAATTACTCAGTGTCTCACACCACGAGCAATGAAAAACTGCACACCGGTGAGTAGAATTTTTAATGATGAAAAAACATTGAAAGTCGATCCGATATTTTAATTATATGCGGTATCATATCAGTGAAGAGAAATATTCTCTCGCGCGAGCCTAGGACAACTCTCATACGCGCGTCACTCGAGATCTTTTTTTTTCCGAAAAGAAGTATCCACGGGCTGTAAAACTACTTTACGTCTTAACGAGCTTGCGAGGATGCAATCAAGGGAAAAAGGTGAGCGGGCAGAGAAGAGACCGGTCGATTCTTCGATTCCCCCGGTCGTTCGACTTTGAAGCTCTTTGATACCGTCGCGGCTCGGAGATGTCGCGTTTCCATCGGGGGCGAGGCCTTCGATACACACGAAGCCGCTGTGTAGATCCCGAGAAGAGCGCACACATAGCGTGGGGGGGAGGGGGAGGGGGAGGCACGTTTAGGAACACGTGCGGGACGCGTACCCCGAAACGAAGCGCCGGCAAGGAGGACGAGAGACGAGAGGGTGGATGGAGAGAGGGAAGGTGGAGCTATACCCCCCGAAGAGAGCCTGTCACTCGCAGGCAGCCGAGTCGATATCTTTATATAGTCGCATCAACGACAACATTATTTTCCAAAGGTCGCGGCGAGACGCGGCTGCACCGTGAAACATCGCTCGAGACAATCTCTGGTCGGAATACTTGCCAATTATTTGGCTCATTTTCCAAACTACTCGGCCAACTCCATGTGTCTCCGATGCTAAAAATATACGAAAATCTACAATTATTACATATTTTCTTATATCAGTAATTTGTTTCATTTGACAATGATACTTTTTATTTCGAGAGTAACCGCGTTTCTTCGACAAATGTCGGTTACCTTGCTTGATAAAGCACGAATGAAAAGATTTCGGGACGAAATTTCTCGAAATATTTTCCGACGTCGAGACGTTAATTCGCGCCGTCTTCCTCCGGCGCGATGATGCTTCTTCTTCCGGACGAGTGTCTTAGCCTTGACCTAGAAATGCGACGCCAATTTCTCGACACGAAATTCAATAAGTGACGTGTTATCACCGCAAAGACTCCCCTGGGGTGTCCCCACAGTGGAACCTCTCCCCCCCCCCATTGTACCCCCGTCGAAGAGAGTCGGCCGAACCACCCCGGCCGACGTCTGGCTGCAGTGATTGACACTTTATATCTAGCATTGGCATGCCGTGCGGAGCCACCGTTCACCCAGGATGGACCACCTCCGCCTAACTCAATCACTGCCTATAATGCCGCAATTTCTCTATCATAATCGCGTTACGTCCCCTCCATTGCTCGATCCACTTTTCGACGACGATTCAGAAATATTGAAACTCTGCGCCGCGTCGCGATGACGGATAGGAATATATTGTTGCTTGCTCTCCCCGCTTTCTCGTTCGTCTTTTTTCACCGCGTATCTGGAAGCGGCATCGTAATAATTTAAACAATAAGATAACGCGAAAATTTAATTAAAAGATATGCGAAAGTTTATGAATTAATTGGGTACGTTTTATGATATTGATTTATATATATTTTTCGTTACATTAATTTCATTTCAATGATTTTAATTTGTAGATGTCAATCTATGGGGATAATTATCTAATATTACATATCGTATTATATAATAAAATGTAATATTATCAAAGAAGTTTTTCGCTATTTAAATTATGTAATTTGCCAGAGAAAAGTTACAAGAAAAAACTTTCGAATTTTAAGAATCCTGGATACAAGATGCGTCGATAGCTTATTAAAGTAACGAATGCACAAACTATAATCTAAATATTATTAAATATGATACACGCACACAAGAATTTTATGTCTGTGACAATATCCATCATTCGACAGTTAACAAAATTAATTCGTAAATCTCGATGATGATAAAATCATGTTACATGTATAGTTAGACGTACTTATTTCATGACATACACGAAGACATGTATGCGAACGGTTGAAGTATCGTTGCAGAGGAGATTTCTTTATATACGCGAGCAATGAGCTGTAGCGTAAGTAGATTCGATTCGCGTTAGACTGGATTCTGCCATGGAACAAAACGAGGTTATCGCCGAGTGGCTACCCATGGCGAATTCTGGAGGTCCATTAAACGCACCCCAGTTTTCCACGCTGGCATTCTTATGCGCCCATTCACGCTGAAGGGTTTGTTTTTGCCTCTGATTCATTCGCAGCTACTCAGCAGCACCGTTTGTCTTCCCGCATATCTCGCCGATCTCGATTCCAGATAAGATGTATCTCTTTTTATCGAGGCTAGAAATATCTTCTTCCCCCATCCATTCACCTATCGTGTTAACTATCAAATATCTTTTTTTTTTTGTTGAACACATTGTGTATAGGTATATATCAATAATTAATCAAAAACAACGGAAGCACATGACATGTTCTGTCAATTTACGGCAAATACTGTTCAACGTTTAGCCAAACAAATGTATTTGCATTTTCTCTTGCCCTTTGTTTATTTTATCTCGCGATCAATAACGCAACTATATTAATACACACCCGCGCACACGTGTTAATTCGAGGAAAATTTATTGATTACAGGAAGCGAATTATACATGCCACAAGGCTACAGGCAGGAAACTTGGTTGCAAGATGGTGAGTGCTTTATTGTAAATTTTATTTTCATTTTGTTTTGTAATAATTTACATAATAATAACAATTCAATTATCTTTCCTTCCTCATTCGTTGTGCATGAGTTTAGTTCGAATACGCTTTTAATTCCACGGAAGTTATCAGCCCGGATAGCTCAGTCGGTAGAGCATCAGACTTTTAATCTGAGGGTCCAGGGTTCGAGTCCCTGTTCGGGCGTTATTTTTTGTCCTCTTTATTTTTGAAGGAATGTAATTATGTCATTATTGAGGACCAAATTAAGAAAATGAAAATTTTTTTTTATAAATTTACAATTTAAATATAGATGACATATCAACGGTAAAACTATTGAATATTCTTTCGCATTATTAATAATAGCATTTTTGTAAAATAATAATGATAATGACAATGCTAAGACGTTAAAAATCGAAATGTTATTAAAGTCGTTATTACGAAGAAATTGTGCTATTGATTTTTAGAATTTAGAGATGTAGCATCAAATTATCCCTAAGCCACCAGCGAAGATAATTACGTGCAGCCACTATTCTCTCGGAACATTAATTTTAATTACCTTGCCCAACTACGATGTAATACGCGGTGGATGTAATGTAACGAACGATCAAAGGGGGATGATTTTGCTGCGGAATGGAAAATAGAAATTCTCGTTAGATATTCGCGAATTAGAGAATTTTTATTCTAGTAGTTTTATTAATTCCTGCTCAAATTATCACAAATGAATTAATACGAAATGTCTCTTGTGCGTAGGTAGCAGCTCTGAAACCGAAGACAGCGAACAGTACGTACCCGAGTTTCACCAGATGTCAAGTAAGTGCCAATTCTCTTGGCGTTTATTCTTCGTCTGTTGGTTTCTTATTATCTAATCGCGTATCTCTCTCTCGATAATCGCAAAATTATTTAGCCACGTCGCATCAATACTCGACATCTGGTAATTCGTCTGGATAAATAAATCCGGGTTTGGAAATTCGCTAAACGGGATTGGAGGATGTCAATCTCCGCTGAAATCACCGCGAAATCATGTACAGCGCGCGGAAATGTTTCGCACGCGTCGATTCGGCCTCGAAATTGGTTGGAAAATCTGTTATCGCGCGCAGATGTCTAGACTCTCTCCTCGAGATATCGCATCTTCTCGACACGGTCCTATGACCAACAACTATGCCGAAATATAAATACTATACGTGCAAAATCGAGCCGAAACGAGAATGAGGAGATCGCGTCATCGAACATCATCAACAACGACCGAGGAGATCGCGTCATCGAACATCATCGGGAACAACGACCGTAGAGGAGGAAGAATTAATTCATCGGATGTTCCGTTCAACTCGCTCGATATAATCGTCGCAATCGGCGAATCAATCAATGGGTAACGCGTGACACACCGCACGTGCATCTTTAATTAGTCGCCGACACTTTCCACGCGCGTTGCGGTTTTCCCGTTCGACGATCACATCAGTCTTTTTGCGCGTGAGAAATAATTTTTCGCTGCATATTTTTCATTTTTGCGCGCTACATAATCACGATGTATATAACTCTCCAAGTGCAATATTGGTCCTTTATTAAAAATCGGCGAGAAGTTGTGCCCGCGGGGCAGAGTTTTTTTTAGCGTGGCTTAGATAGAGAGCGGGAAGAATCAACACGGGCGTTTGTCGGCGATCATCGATATCGGATTACGCGAGTAAGCACTTTATATTAAGCCAGCGGCGATTCTCTCGTTCTCTTTTTTTTTTTTCTTCATTTTTTTCCTTCGTTATCGCCGCGCGCGCGCGCTTATTAACGTCGCTATCGACACCGGGTTGCGCGATATTATTTTCCGCGACGGCGGACGTAATTGTTGTAATAGACAGACGAAAATCGAATCCCGCCGCGTATTCGACTTCTCTTCGACGTTGAACATATGAGAAGAGAGCGGGGCTCGCAGTTTACATTATTCCGCGCGCGCAAAATTCGCGACGGAACGATACGTGTAATTCAGCGTCGAGAGCAGCATTGAACAAACGTATCGTCGAACATTTCAACCGGGCGAGAGCAAACACCCAGAGGGAATCGGGGGCTAGCTAATGTCTATATACATACACATACACACACGCACATACATGTGATTCCCAAGCGCCGTGTATATATATGTATATAACTTCGCGTAATATTATATGTAACTTGTGCGATATATTTAGGATGCTCATCTATATATGTACTTATATATAAAACATCAAGAACATCGATATGTTTTTTTATTTGATATATTAGAGTACGCAGTTTTTGAATATGGATTCGTTGAAGCGTTATCAGTGTGTATGAATAATATTATATTAAAAAGTTGATAAAGAATTCTCTCGGTGAAAAAAAAGATAATATTTCTCTCGATTTATGTTTCTTTTTTTGACGGAAACTATGTATAAGGATAATAATTATTTGACGTCAAAGACATGTGCCTGAATAAATGTTACATTTCTCTCTTGCGTAATGAGAGTCCGTCGAAGTCTACTCATCGAAGATAATTATTGCGAGATCTCTCTTCTCGCGATATCAAGATAATTGAATCTATCGTGGCCGCGCTTCTTCCTATCAGTAAATTTCCAATGTTTACAAATACAATTATCGCCGGAGGCTTGTGACTTATGCTTCCCACGGCCCGGGAGCCTGTTTGACTTATCGGGGGCGCAGCCCTCGCCCTCGCGAAATCGTCGGCACCCCATTAGACCCCACCTTCCCTCTCACGTGTCGTTGCAGCGATGCGTCTTCACTTCCGATACGACACGCGCCCTTATGTCCTGGCGTCGCCCTGTCGTTCTTCGGCTATGAATCGTCCGAAGAAAACGATCGCGCGCGCCACGCATTGGATAAACGATAATGATATGCAGTGGGCAGGGTGTCTGCAAAAATGTCGTCAGAAGTCATTCCGTAGTCGCGTACATTGATATTGTCGAATAGAATTATAAAAACGACATATCTCTCTATTTTTTACTAATCGAATGCTACGTCGACCTTTATACTTTTCCTCCAATGAAAAGAATTATCTGAATATGGAAAAATATGTATTAATCGCGATTTATACATATAGTCGTTTTATTTGCATCAGGTGCAAATGTGAAGCAGGAGTCTAGCAATGGCACGAGAAATGGCGACAACGGCAATTATCATCCCCAGTATCAATCTTCTGTCGCGCACAGTCAAAATAACGATTTTCTCGAGCTCAGATCGGATCGTTGTTTCGGGTAAGTTCGACGAAAAACTGATCTAACGGATTTTTCTACAATATTTATGCGATTTAAAGCGCATGCAACGTAACTGCAATTGCTCGAGAAGATTTTCATTTATATTACAAATAAAAAAAATTTACGCGAATCGTCACGCAAGTTTACGATTGCACGCGTGGAATGAAATTTTGCGTGTTATTCGTAGGAATCGAAAGATAAATGGACCGGCTGGTAAGAGCACGAAGGACGTCGCCGTGAAGGAAGAACCGGCGGATCGAAGCTACGTGGAACCGCTTCCCGTGACAAACATATCATCCGCGACGTCTCAGGACACGCAAAACGGTAAGAGATTCACGCAAGGATGCGTTTATTCGCGTTAGATTTCGCGGACGAATGTCGAGAATGAGAACGCGAATCGCTAGTAGTTACTATCTTCGTACGAGGATCCGCGCCGTGACAAATCTCTGCACAAAAGAATCCACGTGGCACTATTCCACCCCATGGAATCCATAAATAACCGGGGGTACGAGGGTACCGCTCTCCATTAATCGAGTCGACTTCCGATTAGCCCTTTGAGGGTCTCATAGCTACATCGACGATAATGTTCGATCCATGCCGTTTTCTTAATTGTTGTTCATATCGATTCTTTTTCTCTTTCTCTTTTCGCGATTATTGAAAAATATATAATAATAAAAATTTTAAGATCTACAAGAAGATAAGATGGATATATAAAATATTTATCGATTATATTGTTTTTTCTTATATTTATTATACATTTTATATTTTATATATTATTTTGCAAAGAATATTGATTAAAGAGAGAGAATACAAGCAACATAAAATGTAACATTTCCCGTGATCGTTGCGAGGCTCCCAACTAATGTATTGCAGCCGCTCACGCATGACTGAGCATGCGTAATTGAATAATTAAACGATGCTTTCAAGTCGAAAGCTATGGCGAGAGCGTCTTGCAGATTTCAACAAAAGCTAAAAGAAAGAAAGAAAGCGAGACTAGTTTTCCCAGGGGAAAATGTAAGTCGAATATTCTCTCATGCCTCGCGCAGTGTAGAGAGAGAGAGAGAGAGAGAGAGAGATTTTCAATGCGGCATCAGCAATGTTTCTTACAACTACGAATTAGTCTAGAATTTTTATCATTTGAAAACAGGAATTAAAAAACTTCAAATAATAAAAAAGATTTTTTTCTTTATAAGCTATTAATATAAATTGTAACAAATATATATCTCCAAGTGTGTGACGCGTATAGAAAGAGATTGCTGATGTATAGTTAAATTGTACATAAATATTTATTAGCAAGAATAAATATACAACACGAACCACACTGCACAAAAAAATATTTCAGCGAGAATGATATAATGACGGTTTTTTTTATCGACGTTCATTATCTAATAGGCCCATGTGAATCAAAGAAGATACACACTGTTACCACCACTCGTCCCGTCCACAAAAGGTAGAGTCAGTGAGGGGTTGCAAGCTCATGCTTTGTAATCAGACCGATTAGTCTTCCTTTATTCACGCACACGTATACATACATACACGACGAGCCGCGAATCCTTTAGGAGCTCGGTTACGGTTATATCCATGGCTCGACACTCTGTATACGCGATGCTACCAAGTCACCTGGGATTACGCTCATGTTTCTCTCTTGGCGTAATTCTCCCTACCATTAAGCCGTTTTAATTATTCACACGTAGTTTAGGTTAATAATAGGATACATTTGCTCGTATCGATATCCCGCAATCTACTTACGATCATCCAATTTATTTACCAAAAGGAGAAAGTCGTCTTGCATTTTAAGCGAAAATTGGAAATTTTGAAATGGAATATTTTCGAGTCTTTTCTTAAATGCAGGCTTATCGAAAAAGTATTGAATAAAATTTTGTAAACTTTTTTTATCATTACAGTTGCGCGTGTGAAAAGAAAAATCGCAAAAATTAAATATTTTGAATGATCGAAAAATGTTTAGAGAAAAATATACAATATTCGAGATTATCTCGTTTAGAGGGGACAAACAATTCAGAGTGCAATACGACGAGCGGAATAGTAATAACCGGTTAATGGATACCGATTGGTTACACAGTTCCACTAATTAATACGAGCAGAGGATTACGAGGATTACAGATAGCGACGGTCTATTCTGCCAGAATCACTCTTCCGTGCACGCGATATTACGCACAGCGGAAAATTCGCGTTGAACGAAACTTCAATTCGCGTTTTCTATCTTTGATCTGTGTCGCGGTAAATATTTCTATGGCAAAAAAGAAAAGAACAAAAAAAGGGTATTTTCCGTTCGCTCGGCAAAGGACAAGGCGAGCCCGTCAGGTTTCGCCGCTCGTCAGGTGGGTTGGAAAATAGAGCTTGCATTATTAACGGAGCACTATGCCGGAATTCGAGGATCAGCGAGGCAGAAGAGAGGAGAAAAAGCGAGAGAGAGTCGGAGAGTCAAAGTGAAAGAGGAATAGAGCGGCGGCACACAACGCGTTTCTCCTCGTCTGAGAGTGGACGAGAGTGGAAGCCATCCTCTTTTCCGTAGCCGATCCCACCCTGTCCAACGCGTACCGCCGCCCCCTATGGCCAGTCCTGAATTTCAACCCTTCTCCGACGACCTCCCTCGGCGGTGGTATCTCGCCACCAGTTTCATCAGCTCGCGATTAATTTTAATCTAAAACCACCCGCAAAGCCTCTGGTTCACCCCGTTCGCCTGCCGAGGCTGAGGTCAACCCCTTTCGTCATCCCCTGCCGCCCCGTCCGCTTTTCGAGAGAGTGCTAGATTGGTCCAGAGCTTTCAGCTGTCTTCCGAGATTCTCGTCCGAGATTTGACCTACGTTTGCCCGAAATAAAAAACGAGTATAATTTAATTTTTTTTCTAGCAAACTTTTTTGCCGAGATTTAACATTTCGTTTTACATATATATGAAAAGAATTGAAACTCTTGCAAAAGCTGATTTAATGCGAAAAGCAAATAATTTGGATGTGCATATACTTAGTATTAATTCCTGACGATGCAGCTTCTTTCCGCGAGAATAAAACCTTCTCGGGGAAACATTTAATCCGCGTATAATTTTTCTCCGTTAATATGATTTTATTAAATCCATCGTGTCTTTCTCCGTTTTCGAAAAAAGATTCCGGGAATCGTTATTCATGGTTGCATCGCGTTGTTGTCTCAAAAATTTTTGGCCCTTCCGATGACACTCATCCTCGAACGTCGGATGCATCGCGACGTCGTTGCAACAACGTTTTATCGTCGCTCTCTCTGACCGCTTGCGCGGCTTCTCAATTTTTCAATATTCCCCATGCGCGACTTGGAGCGTAACCGGATTACGGCCCGAGAATGGCTCTTTCGGTACCGCGTCGTCGATAGGGGATGGCGGCAGCCGCGGCGGCAGCCCCCGAGAGAAAGAGAGAGAAGCGCGGCCCGATTAATATACATATCGCGCGAGCTCTCGGCTCGGCTTTCGATATTTCAGGGGGCACCAACGCGCGCTATCCGCGGGCGGGCTCCAGTCCCCGCTGGGCTTTGAATATCCACCAATTTCCTGCCGATATTTGTGTGACGAGAGCGCTTCAACCGGCCCGGCGCGTGAGTGCAATCGGTAATACGGGGAGAGCGCTCTTTTTTTGTTCGCTCGAGAATTTCTTCCTCGATCCCTCTCCTTGCTCTCATCCTCGTTCTCCTCCTCTACGTGGAGAAAAACGCCCGTGGATAATCCCGTGCTCTTCCCGCACCTCTCTGCATCATGACGCCTTCTTATTATGATTACGGGAATACGAAGTTTCTCGTATACGGTAAAGCATAAATTTTCTTTTCTCAATGGAGATTGTTCATTATGTCATTTTTGGATTTTTATAGTTTTATTCGTGCAAAATAATAGGAATTATTAATCGTCAAGATCAGATATGGTTATTATACGGATATAGAGTATCTTTGAATTGATAATACAATTGAAAAAGAGATAATGAGTGAATAAAAAATGTAATTTTTTTCTTACACGAAGAAAAATCGCTTTCGAAAAAAACAATTTTAAAAATTGAGAATTTAATAACATTTACGCTTTTTTAAAGCTTGAATAAGCTTAACTATCTTGTCATATGCTGTTGAGTTTCCGTCTGGTTATCAAAATATAAATACATAAAAAATACTAAAAAATTAAAAGTGATATTTTCCACATAATTTTTTCAATTACTCAAATAATTTTAAATTGCTTTATTGAATGGAACGTTGGATTCTTTTTTATTTATGTCTTGGTAGCCGTTATCGTGATGAATTTGACAACACGTGACACGTATAAAAGAAATTTTCTTCTTTATTTTTAATCTATTTCTTTGTGAGAAATTATTTTCTTTTTGATTGTCTTATCGGTTTGGAGACATCCTATATATTAAATGTCAAGATATTTTTTACACATTATTTTAATTTAAAATTAAATTTGCAACATGATATCAATTTTTACAGTTTTGCTGTATTTTGTTACAGCGAGCACTTTAATTTATCAGCAACGTCAACAACAGTACGGGAACGTCACGAGGGATCATCCCAGAGGTTCGTCACCATCGTCCAGTCGTCCAGCCAGCGCCTCTTCCTCGACTTCCCAGTGGCAATCGACCTTCTCCGAAACTTTCCTGCCGCGACCAGAGAACTGGAATTCCGAGGTTTACGCAAAACGAAGCGGCACGCCGACCTGGACAGAACTGGGTACACAGTTAGATCCCAGAAACTCCTGGGAACGGCAAAATGGTTGTTATCAGAAAAAGGCTTCGCCAGTTTCAACCTGGAATCCAGATCACGTTAACAAGAGGCCGTCGTCGGCTACCGGTGTGCCCACCTGGAGCGATGTTGCCGTCGGTTATCAGCAACAACGACGTGGCTCACTGCAATTGTGGCAGTTCCTCGTAGCCTTGCTCGACGATCCTGCGAATGCGCCTTGCATCGCGTGGACCGGGCGCGGGATGGAGTTTAAGCTGATTGAGCCGGAAGAGGTTCGTAGAAAAAGTAGTCGAGGAATACTTTATATACTTATTTACAATTTCCAGTTTTTATAGTTTCATTAACTATATTTTCTAATCTTCAATTAAATAAAAAGATACATTAAAATATAATATTTAGATGGAGAAATATTCCGAAATTTTAATAGAAATTATTCCCATTATATTTTCTTTTGGCAGGTGGCACGTAGGTGGGGCGTCCAGAAAAACAGACCGGCCATGAATTATGACAAATTGAGTCGTTCGTTGAGATATTACTACGAGAAAGGCATAATGCAAAAGGTCGCCGGCGAGCGATACGTGTATAAGTTTGTCTGCGATCCGGAAGCGCTCTTCAATATGGCGTACGGGACCGGAGCGTCTTCGGGGATTAGCGGAGAAGTTCCGAGTAATATGGTACGAAGTCACGCAACGGCCGGGAAAGGGGCGGGCGGGAACGAAGTTCCAGATTTGATGAAGCATCCTGCCGCGGGATATAGCGACGCGGTTTTCGCCATGTATTCAAATACCGCCGCAGGTTAGACAAAATATCACGCTTCGTTAACGTGTTACTTTTCGGCTATTAAAATCTATAACATACATATATATGCAACTGTTATATTTTATTTATAGTGTATGGACCTTCTAGTCTTCATCATTTGCATCAATATCTCGGCGGTAACGAGGGCTTCAAAACGCCACCGAGTAGATATCATCCCCATTATCCTCATCAATACGGTAGCAATCACCATCATCACCACCATCATCCCCCGAGCTATACAGAGACTTTTCTGAACTACAGTCGGTTGTCGCACGAGCCGGCTTTCGATTCGAAGACGCAGGAAGCCCCACCGAGGGACTCGTATACCCAGGAAACGGAGGAGAGTACCGGCAGAGATCGGGAGGGTGCATCGATACCCTATGAAAGCGTGCAGAGATCGCAATTACCGGCCACAACCGCTTCCGCACAATCCTCGATACTGGACGGCGCGGCGAGCTCGAAAATTGAGCAAGCGCCGTACACGTGTCTTGGTGTCGGAAGCTGCGTCTGTTAAATAAATGTGATCGAATCTGTTGTTTGCATATTATTCAAAGGGAGATCTCCCGTCGAATCCTATTTGACGTTCCTCGAGACGGAGCAAAGCTGCGAATCGTCTGAACGTATATGTGTGGTATCTTGTAAATATTACTTATTTTTATGCGCTAAATTATCATCGGAGATAGACTAATAAATTTGTTTTAAAGCGAATTCCGATTCGCGTCTAAGCGTTATCTCCGATCGTTATTATGCGCGTGTTCTAGTAGTTTATCGCGGTTGTAATTTATTTTATAAATATAAAATAAATCTTTATCTCAATAGGACGATTATCAGAAATACAACTTATATGACTTGTTTTGTTTTTTTTACTTACAGCTCGACATGCATTAACAATTCACGGATTTCCATAAATTAGACTAATGTGACTTCGAAACAGCAGCACTATCCCAAAATATCTTTTCATTTTAATATCCAAGAATAAAAACTGACAAATAAAATTGCAAAAAGATAAACTTAGACGTACATTCGCAGCTGTGGAAAATAACATCGCGCGTTGCAAAATACGAGCTCGTAATCCGAAAAAGTCAATAAATATTAGATCACAAGGATAAATCATCTTCACGCATTCTCGTCGATGCGCATATGACGTAAGTGCGCGATTGCTCGTGTATTTCGGGCTCTGACATATGAATCGAACATGTTTATATCGACCTCTCACTTTCCCTCGCTCACACCGTCGGCCGTCCTCTTTCCTAGCACGCGACAGTTTCGCTGAATAAGTATAACCGATGACTTAAGCCGGCTCGTCAACCTTGCGATCCAAAAGCTACTAGAAACACTTTACGAGTGGCAGCGGCAACGTCAACATCTTCCGAGATTCATACGATTGATAATACTGATGACAATCAGTGGCTAAAGTGCACAATTTGAAATAATACTGTGTAATTAATTTATGTAATTAGAGCTATATTCAAAAAATTGCATGTCCGTAAGTATCTTTTTTAATTGTTTTCTCGGTATTTTATTAATTTTAATATATAAATTTCAATTATATATTTTAATATAATAACTGACGAAATAATGTCGTTAAGTACATGTGTCAAGAGTAATATTCGAAACGAAATTCGCGGTTCGAAAAATATTACGCAGCTGAAATTTTAACAATGAACGTTTAATCGAGTAACGCACCAAAGAATGTCGCACTTCCTAAGATTGCCAAATATAACGATTAAACCATTGCCGAGTAGGTATTGATCCTTTCCACGTAGCTTCCATAATTCCGAGGACTACGTCAACGATAAAACTGACATACGCGCTTCGCATTCTGAGTGACTGTTTCCCCGCCTCCCAGTGTGTCCTCTCCTGATGATTGGGTGCGCCGTTTTGAATCGATTGCTTCATGAACGTTGCTAGTTTTCCGAAAACTTAATTTTGCACAATGTCAAAGTCAAATGCCGTTAAACGCATAATACATCATTTCCATGCTCTTATTGAATTCCAATCGGTGATAATCGGAAGCGATTAACAGCACACAAACTCGCATAATCATGTTACTCCAAAATCGATCAATTAATGTTTACATGCTCGTGCATATATATATTTGCGACATATTTATATCTTTTATTTTATATGATATTTATATCACATCGGTTGAAAATTAGAATTTAGTTGAAGACGATTTTTCCGCATAGATGAAAATGGCAAAGACCAAACCCGCCGAGCAGGAGGAAATAGCAGGAGGGATGGGTTTCAAGGACAAACAGAAAGCGTTGGACACGCTGAAGATTCTGGACGGCCGCGACATCAGTTATCAGTATCACGTAATCACAAGCTTCGTCAGTCGCACAAAAAGAACGTTGCAGATAACGCGAGACGAAGAGAAACTAGCGAATCTGCGAGACTCCCTGAAAATCTTTGAGGATTGGCTGACGGATTACAAAGTGAATAATCGAGGAAAAGAGAATCTTGCATACTTGCCGATCGAAACGATTAAGGCCTTCCGCGGTCTCGCAAAGAAGTACGACGTGTGGAACGACGAGTTTTTCAGGTAAGAACCCAATAATCAGCGCATTTTTTACGATGAAGACTCGAGACGATTCAATGAGCTGATATAGATTTTCACGTTAGGGCGTACAAGACTGAGAAGGGTGACTACAAGAGCCTGCGGGCGGCGAAAGTGTCTGGCGGAGACATCACGTGGGATATTGAGAGGAACAGGCGTTTGAGAGAGATTATCGGAAAGATCAAGGACGAGCACATTCAATGGTATGAGACGGACGTGGGAGATCTTCGGGGTCTGCCAACGAAGGAGCACACGCGATGCATCGTACTCGCGTACAGTCCCGATCCTGCAAAGTTGAAAAAATTGGTGACTCAGGTACGCGAAAAATTCGGCGAGGACAATAATGATATGGACATCGAAGAAGAAGAGCGAGGCACTAAGAGAGCTCACGATAGCTCGTCGAGCAGCGATAGCGAGTCGGAGAAAAAGTTGGCGAAACGTTCATCGGAAGCTGAGGAGAATCAGCGGAACGAAAAATCGGAGAGCGCGCTAAGTTTTAAGGACAAGGAGAAAGCTTTGCAGAGCATCAAGTCTTTGGAGGGCAGAGACATGTCGTATCAGTTCTATGCGATAAGCGGCCTGGTAAAGCGAGCCGAGAGAGTGATATCGTGCACGAAGGACAAGCAGAAAATCAAGAATATGACGGAAGCAGTGGAGGTCTTTGAGAACTGGATCACCGATTATAATGTAAACGGCCGGTCGAAGGAGAATTTTAATTATCTGGCAATTGACATTGTGCGGGCCTTTAAACCTTTAGCCGAACGATACGATATCGAAGACAACGGTTTCCTCGAGTGAGTCTCATTCCGATCGATAAGAAAATTATTGAAAGATAAAAAGATATGAGAAATTTTAAAATTTATCGATAAAATATTTCGTTTGCATTCGATTTTACAGAGTCTACGAAGAGGCGGACGGCGATTATAAGAAACTCAGATCTGTCCGAGTTCCGCAATCGGATGTTACGTGGGATGTGAAGAGGAACGAGCACCTACGAGAGTTGGTAGATCGCATAAAAAAGAACCACATCCAATGGTTCGATACGGACGCTAAATTTCGAGGTTTGCCCACCGCGGAGCATACAAAATGCATTATGTGGGGTTTCAGCCACGAAGTTGCGAAGCTGAAGAAGCTCTTGCCTATATTAAACGAGAAACTTGAAGCCGCTGACTAATGTGGCTTAATAAATGTTGGATTATTGCCGAATCGTCATCGATTCAACCGTCATATTTTTATTGTTATGTAACAAAAAAAAAAAAAGAGATGTCTGCTGCATTATGCAGTATTATATTTTAGCATGTTATTCATATGTTATATGCAATTTGTGTCAAATTTTTGCTATAATGAATCTGTTATTTTAGTACATAGGGGAAATAAACGAATATAGAGCATGGCGCCTTTTAAGAGATTCGAGATATTCGATAGACGGAGAATTAAAAATAGTTATTAAATTAAAAAGAATATACCTTACATATTTGTATATACGTGCAGAATAGCTTTTTTTTTTCTTTTTTCATATTTATGTTTCGTAGTGTTACTTCGTTCACTATTATCAGTCATTTACCGACCTTACCCGTACTTATCGACGCAGCTTCTCTTAACCAATGTAACTTTATCGCGACACGAGAGATGGCGTCGCGATCAGCCGGCCGGAGTTTTTCGACCGCGACGAACTCAATCGATAGTTTTTATCGGTCACAGTCGGGAGTATGATAAGTCGCGGCTCCGGTTTGGAGGTTAGGGTTAGGTTAGTGACTCGTTGACATCGCGGCGACGGCGGACGCAGTGAAGTTTTCGGTGAGTGAGAGAATCATCGGGCATTGCTGGACCGTGATGCGAATCGAGTAATCGCCGGACGATCGTTCGTCACCGATCTTTACCGCGAGAAAACCGAATCGTGCGAAACGACGTACACACGGGTGAGCATCGGCGCGATTCCGTTGACGGATCTGTTTATATCCCGCGCACACGGTCGGAGCCAGATCGCGGGTGGCATCCGCCGAGCGCGTCCAAAAATAGAACGGCGGCGGCGCCTACCGTGTCGACGAACGAATTCCGTCCGCGCGGACGAGAGAGAGAGAGAGTGAGAGGGTGGAAAGAGATAGGGGAGTATCGTCCTCGGAATTCCGGCGACGAGATAGGCGCCGATGACACGAGGATGGAACGCGTACCGCGATAGCCGTCCTTTCCCTTTCTTCGACTACCGCGTATATACAACGAATCCGGAATGTTCCTCGCGACCTACGGATCCGTCGTCGACCCGAGTCCCGCGTGCTGTTGACACATCGCGCTGAGCCGTTCGATCGAATGTCCGATTCCGCGAGTGGCGCGACTTCCACTCTCGTCGGGGGAGAAACAGGGTCAATCGGGGTTGCAGCGGCGAGGTGAGTGATAACGAACGATATCGCCATTCGTAATAATTTGTTCGATTATTTTGTGACAGCTATCGAAATTTTTTTGATAAAAAATTTGAATCCAGCATTTCAAGCTCGAATTATTTTCTCATGTAACGCGACAAATTTTGAATAATACTGTGACAGAGTATAATGAATAATATTCTCACATCTCACGGCCATAATAGAGGTCGAAGAATCTTTTTCGTAAACAACTGTAGGATTAATTAAAAATATTTATGTGAGAAAAAAGTGGCGCGAAAGGGACATATCTCGTAATATCTCTTACAGGATTTCGGAGAGAGGGCGTCGCGTCTTGACGCCGGGGCGCACTTTGGCGTGAAGTTCGCGACGATGCCTGGACATTTATCGTGCGTGCGGCACGCGTCGTCGCGTGTCGCGAGATAGACGCGCGTCGGCGGCGACCGCGAGAGCATCGATCTCTCCGCGCGGGCGCGAGGCGCCGCGAATTGAGATTCGGCGGCACGCGGCGAGCAATCGGGGCGCAAATGAGGCGCGTGGCGTGCGACGGCGGGTGGCACCGATCGGCGGCAATACCGATGACGACCGTTCGTTGCGAGACGGCCGAGGCCAAGCCCCAGTGAGAAGATGTCGCAGACCGCGGATGCCGAAAGCGAGACGGGCTCCATTTGCGACGAGGAACGCGTCCGGAAGCTGTTCCAGGCATGCGACGGCGACGGCGATGGATACATCGACAGGTAAGTCAAGAATAAAGAAAGGAGAAACAATATCTGTAAGATAGAAATACCGCGAATGAGCCTGATTCACCGAGATGTAAAATCCACTCAAGATAAAGTGGTTTTATCTCGATGTTCCGGTTGCTATCGATCGCGTTCATGATACGCGATTTACGATTTATTTCTTTTTTTAGATGATCAAGTGCGATAAAAAGTAATGCTGAAAAACTCGAACGAAATTTTTGAAATTATTACTTGTTCGTTTTCTTCACCACCTCTTGGACTCTTTGCAGAATCCATTTCTGCTGAATAAAAATGTTGAGATAATGAGTAGTATATAATCCAGTCGCGTTGAATTTTTCCAAATACAAGTATGAATATATTTTATGTGAAAATTCTTTCGCGGTGGCTGACATCGCGCGCGCGAGCGGAAGGAGATCTCGCGCTCGTTGACGTGACCGCGCCTGCCGTTGGCACGTACGTTTTAATTATTTCTTCAATTAATTAGAATTGTTTCTCTCTCATTTCTACCGTGAATACGACGAGAGTTCACCGACTCCCGAGAGAGACGGCCGGCTGGTTGGCGCGCGCGGCGTCTCTCTATATTTCTTTTTATCCTGCGTCAGTAAACTTTGCTGAGCAAACTAAACTGGCGGGATAGCCGCGGTAATAGAACGCGAACGCGCGTCCAATAATAATAAGTTTGCGATAATTTACGACGACGAGGAAAGCTCCCGCGAACGATAGTAGACGCGAACTGTATTAACTTTACTTCGTTCCCTTCCGTCTCTGTCGATTTTTCTCAACTAAAAACAATTTTCTCATGTCGAATTATCGAGTAGCCATTTGTGTTTCGTAAAATTTGCAACTCGAGAAACGCTCTCCTTATTCGATAGAATTATAAAGCCTTCGAAGTTACGTGACACCCCTCTTTTGTTTTCCAGTCCGTAAATTAGATTCTACCGAGGAACGTTTTGTTACGTCGTTTTACGTTCTATTTTCTTCCTCGCTCGCCATTTCCATCGTTATCCATGTCTCGATATGTTTCTCCCCCGTTGTTTTTTTTTTTCCCCCCTTCGCGAAGGGGCTCCGCTTCGCAAGACCTCGATATTGCGTTCCTAGCACGACGCGCGCGTTTCTTCTCCCGTGAACTCGCGCTACCTTTTATTCCCTTCCAATGAAGCTTTAGGTGCACCTTTTATTGCGTTCGTCGAACATTACAGTCCATTTTGCTCCTGCCGCCCACAACGGTTCTTACGTAGCTTTCTGCCGCAGGTAACTTACGTAGGTAAAATTACGTCCGGCACAGTCTCCGTACGTATTATACGCGTAGAATGTTTACACACGGATTCCGGCTTTCTCGCTCTACGTTATAAGCTACGCAAACTGCATTTATATGCGTAAAAGGCGAGCGAGAGAACTCGACGGTACTTTATTCTCTTTTATTTAAACGCGCTTTTTACCATGTACCGATTCGTATCTGCAAACAAAAACAGATGACTTTTTAAATATCGCAAAAAGCTTTTTTAAAATTTAATTTAAAAATGATTTATTTTTTATTATGTTATATATTTTTATTATATCATATTTTTTTAACGGAATGCGACTAAGAGATAAAAATGGCGATAATTGTTAGTACTTTCTAAAAAGAAATCAATCTGTCTAAAGTCACACAACACGCCGGATAAACTTAGATTCAGTGATTCTTCGTCGAAAGTCGAGAATTACGACAATTGCATTTGTGGTCCATGTTTTTTTAACGAATCACGCGAGAGAATTCATTCAAAGAAAATTGAATTAAGATGCGTGTTCGCGAGAGAGAGAGAGAGAGAGAGAGAGAGATGATGGGGGGAAGCTGGAGAGGCTGGGGGGAGGCAGAATGAGTGCCCGCTCAGGCTTTAATCCCGCGAACGAGATTTATCGTCGGCGATCTAGTTTTACCGTGTGGTACGATAAAATGATGAGATCTTCCAAGAAATTACCGCGCCGTTGTTGGCGGCGTTAACGAATCTCGCGCTCGATTGTCCCGAGATAAATCCTCGGTCTCGAGGTCGCGGGCAACATCTGCGCGATTGGAACGGGGATGATTTATAATTAACCGCCGGTCCCCCGCGCGATAATAATTGCCTTTACGTCGTTAATTATCACCCCGGGGAGAGTAACATCGATTCGTTAACGAGCAATAATTTATTGCCGTGTCGAATGCGTCGTCGCCGCGTGTTTTATGGCGATCATTCGACTCGTGCGCGCGCGTGCGCGTTTATTTATCTTTTCATATTTTATTCCCGTACGAAGAGAGAGCCACGCGATACGCGTAAGGTATCTAGTCTCGTATATAGGTGCGTTTTGTAAGCGAGATTCGCCGAGTCGAGGAGCTCGACGAGGGGTGAGACGAGGAGGAGAATGCGTGCGCGCGTTCTACAAACAAATTAAGAGAGTAAACCCGACGGAACCGCAATTCTCTCTCTCTCTCTCTCTTTCTCTTCCGCGAAAAGAGAGAGAAAGATGAAACAATATTTCCCGACTCGTTGGCATTCATTACAGCACACTTTTGTAACCTCGTTATATTCTCACTCTTGCCCCTAAGAACTTTGTCGCACGTGTTCACACGCAAAGTTTCATTAGCCTTTTCCCCAAGTAATGTATACGTGTGATATTTAGGGAGATAATTTTTGTCTTTATTTTATCTAAAAAAAAGGTGAGATTACGCGAGCGTAGAAAAAAGATTTTTTTTTCTACATAAAGTAAGCTCTCTCTGGAGGGAGAGATGAAATAACAAAACGCGCTATTCATGTGGACGTGAAGGCCGAATCTTCACGCTTCGGACAATTATCGGATTGACGTCAGGAAGCTCGATGACCTGATTTTCCGGGGTATACAGTTTGGCGTTTCACGCAAGGCGGCCGCGAAAAGAGATTGTGTGTTTCTCGGACTGATAACAGAAGGGAAAGGAAAGTCGATTTCGTCGATGCAGACCCCTCGACGATACCCCGAGGGTTGGCCCCGAGCGAACGGAGGGCTGGTTCCCTGCCCCTCTCCCCTCTCGCGTTTTATGGCAAGTGAGTCACACTACAACCGCGATCGGGTTCTTTCGTTTCTTCTCTCCCTTTTCATTATACGACGACTATACTCCTTCCAGCGTTTGCAGACTCCGTTTATCGGCATTTCTCTCTCGCCCCCTTCCGTTTTTCTCTCCTCTATAATCCCCCGTCGCATACCCCCCTTTATTGTCTCCGTTTCTCTTCTCCCCCGCGGCTATGCCTTTCTACTATCACGTAAAATACAGTCGGTTCGCGTGCGACGAATACAGGCTGCATCCATTCCCGTAATGCAACAGATTTCCGTGAACGAAAGCGAACGTAGTCGTAAACGTGAAATTTCGTTCCGTTACGGAATATAATGCGAAGGAATAAAGAAGCGAGTGATCGTTGGTTCCAGTAAAAACCGTGGCTTCGTTTCTCGATATCTTTTTTGTCTTTCCACCGCCTGAGTTCCTGTCGACGATTTACTTTACGAATAAATTTCCTCTCTAGGCGATATATTTCTTTTTTTTATGAATAACAATACTCTTTCTTCGAATAGCTTTTTTATCGCGAGAGGAATCTCCGGAGAGAAGTCTCACTCGATATACAGGAATGAAAGTAATTGATTTTGGAAAATTTAACGGCGTCGTCTATCGCGAGAGGAATCTCCGGAGAGAAGTCTCACTCGATATACAGGAATGAAAGTAATTGATTTCGGAAAAGTTTGTGAAAATTTAACGGCGTCGTATTACAAAATTTAGATGCGATAACAAAATTATATTAGCGAAAATGCTTGGTAAAAAAATTAATATCGCGGATATCATTGATAGCAGCTGTCCAACTTGTCATTTCGAAATATTATACGAAATATTAGACTCGATAAATGATTTATAACGGAACTTTGTCACGAAAATTTCCGCCGATATTTTCGTGACAATTTTCAGATTTCCTCAACTGCGACGTCTAAGTTAAACTGATAATAGATGCAACGACTTACGTGAGCTTGTTTGCACGCGACGAAGATACGTAAACATAGCGGGAGGAAATTTCTGCGAAAGACTTCTCTGAAAGGAATACTGTGCTCGCTCGAATCGATACCTCGACTCGTTTATCCGTACCGTACTCGAGTTATTTTACAAAAGGAGCAGAGACAGATCATATAAGAGAGAACCAGAGGAAAAAGACATTAAAAAATATTAAAAAGTTCCACGATATGTTATATCTATTTATAATTGTATCTTTTGCTGTCTTCGACTTCTTTTTTTTTTTTATCCGTGCATCCTGCGTGAAAATTGACCGATCGCCAATCCTCGAACAGCATTTTGCGGCGAAGGCATTTTCACGGCCGGCCATTTTTACGCGCGATCCGCACTCGTAATTTCGTTACGCGCGGCAGCTTGCTCTTGTAGCCTCGTTTATCTCGCCTCACGGTTCGACTCGGCCGCGATAAATCTCGAAATCGTCCCGGCCAGTTATCGTTATTTACGCTTCTCTCCTTCTGACCAGCAAAGGAAAAGGAGAATATATTTGCCGCCGTTGCACTGGAAATTTTCGTTTTATCGACGCGTCATCGACGATTGTCTATAGCAAATTACAGAATCAATCTTTGCTTTTCTCATATTTCTGCTTGAAAAATGAGACTAAATGAAAATAATTACAATTTTTTACTCTTGTATCAATTAGATTAATATGATACATAATTATGATAACGATCACGAAAAATTTTAAAGTGCGTTAAATGACGAGAGGATATTTTTTTAACATCATATCATCGTTATTGATATTTTTTTCTCGAAATCAAAACTAACAAAATGCGCGACGCAGGCAGACCTTCGCGTTAAACTCCGAATTATTTTCGGAGTCGCTGTAAATTTGATGAATCTTGACGATCGATACGCCAATATCATAACTGGCGACGTCAAGGTCTCGCGTCTCTCGTCGCCGTTGCGAATTATTAATATCAGTCAGAGATTTCGAGATTAACTGCATGATCGCGAC